AAAATACTCTAGTTGTATTAAATTAGGTCAAGATGAATAGTATTTTTTGAATTTTGGCTAGCTAGAAAATCTATATTTTTCATCTTTCTGTGTCTTTCAAAATAAATCTAACAATCTGTCTTGAGCTTCAGAGTGATACATATAATATCTGATTGTTTAAAACTAAATAGCAGTACCCTCAATATTCTCTTCTTCCTCTTTATTGGTTTGATCAAATACAAAATTATGTACATCCCAATTTCTCAAGCCATCTAAACTACATTGTGCCATATCTTGATCTGAAATCTGTGGTAAGTTTGTTCTAGAGACTTGGTGATGTTGGAATGGATTGTGAAATGAGGCTGTGTTGATCACATAATGTTTGTCATCTGCGTGCAAAACTTGAGAAGTTTTGATATCAGTTTCTTGATGCTCAACAGTGACAGGTTTGCTCATGTCAATTGAGCATTTTCCTTTGTCACAATTATGCTGAACATTGATGCAAGCCTGGACTTCCTGTAAAAGAAACAGAGAAGGAAAACTTTATTTATTTTTTATATAAAAAACAAAGCTGAAAATAGCCTCCAAAACTCACATTGACATTAATGAACTGTTTGATCTTTTCCCGGCATATTGTCCTCATTGAATAGAGCTCACTTATTCCCATAAGCTTGAAGTAATCAAAATGGATATAAAACTTTGATCTTGCAGTTGAATAAGATTCCCACAAGGATTCAATCAAACCATGAATTGATTCTGAGCCATGTTGTTGAATCTGAAAATATGTGATGAATCAATAAATGATGGAAAACATAAAACTAGAAGAGTAATTATAAACACAACACAAGTGACTTACCACAACAAAACCACCTTTCTCCAAAATTTTGTGTTGTTTAATTTGAACCTTTCGAAATTGTCTGATTCTAGTGCTTGAGCAATGTTCAATCAACTGTTGTGGTACTGGGAGCTTGTCGTCTTGAAGGACTTTAATGGTTTGAGCAAATGGATAGTGTTGGGGAGGGGCTGGATTTGATGCAGTGTAGTTGTAACCAAAGGACTTGCGGATGACTTCATTTTTCAGGAAGATATTGAGAACTTCTTGAGAGGCTTTGCAATAGGTTTCAGTTTCAGGATTGTACATATAACCTCCAGAGAGAAGAAATCTGTGTGTGTAATAATTATCAAAAGTGATAGCAATATCTCTTCCTGGGCTTTGTCTGTTGGAGTGGATTGATGCATTGCGTAAGACACCATTGAATGATTCAAACTTTTCAGTGGCAAAAAGAGTTGCTGGTCCAAATCGACGTATTGATGCAGGGAGGTGGTGAAATTTCGGCTTGTTGACCCACTGCGCTGTGGTTTTGATAGCATGATAAATGAAATTCTTGATGCAAATCTTTAGACAGGTCAGATATTCTTCCATGTTATCGATTTTGGTGATAAAGATAAATGGTACAAGTTGACAGAGAGCCGTCCGATTGCTTTGCGTTCAGGTTCCAGGAATTGGAAAAAAATGAAAGGTGCTGCTTGAACCAGAATCTCAAATTCTTTTCCAACTAGACTTTTGATGTGATTGACAAATGATTTTCCATTGATGGGTGGAATATTCAAGCCGTGCAGCAATTTCTTTTTTCTGATTGGTGTTTAGTTTCTTCCCTCCAAGTATATCCCTGGCCAGATACTTGACAAAGCCAAGAAAAGCAATGTGGAGGATCTCAACTGGAGTATCCTTAACACCATCAAACCCTAAAAAATACAAAGAATGTGAATAATCACATAAACAAGAGAACAGAAAACCCTGCCACTGTAGACCAACCTTCAAGCTCCAAAATTGAATTGAACAATTTGTGTGGCTCTTTGTCTTCAAATTTTTCCATCTTTCCTCTGATTTGAAGATTTTTCTTTGATTCTTCCAAAAACCGGGTGTTGAGTGAGTCAGTGATACCACATTTGAGTTTTTTTTGGAGGGACTCGGCATGGCTTTCTTTGATTTCTGCACAGTATATTTCATAGGTCCTTTCATGTGTTTCGTTCCAAATCCTTTCATTTCCTGTTGCCTGAAATTCCCCAAAAAGATGAGCAGAAAATCAGATACATTAACAAAAATTCCACAGAAATGGAAGCTTACCTCAGATCCATCATGATTAATCCTCAAGAATTTTGTCACATAATCACAAGTATTCCTCATGTTAATTCCTTCAGCATGTAAATTACACATTTGGCAAGGATTCAATGAAGTGCCGGGATTTGGTGTGTTTGTGATCTCAGCATGCATTGGGGAGTCACCCCAAAAGCATAAGACAATTCCAGTGACCAGAACCTCCTTCATGATAGTTGAGTCAAATGCATTGAAACCGGTTTTTGTGATTTCACTATAAATAAAATAAAATGTGATTGAAAAAAAAAACAATCAGTGAAAAAAAGGAGAAAATGGAGATAAAATTCTAGTGAAAGTGGGAAACTGGATAAAGTTGGGTATTGAGAAAGCTTAATTCATTTCAGGAACTATTGGCTGCAAAATTTCCAACACAGTAGCTCTATTTGAGGTGGATAAGAAGTGACAGTTGAGCTCCTGATTGGAGATGTGTGGTGGAAGACCAGAAAGGGTAAAATAAAAGGAGATGTGTTTGTTGAATTTCTTTGAGACATTTCCGGAGGTGTCATTGGAATATAAGGTGATTGGAATGTGTCAGATAATTTTTCCATCTGCCTTTTTACGCCAAGGATTGGGCAATTTAGTCTTCTTCTCCTTTTTTTCACTATTATATTCTACAAAAATTGAAGGATGACCAATCAGCAATTCAAGCTAATGTGTGTTGTCTTAAATATATGAAGAAACAAAATCAGAATGAAATACCATAAAGTACATCACAATTTTCAGAGAGTTTCAATCCATTCATTTCAATTTTGAGATAGCTTTTCTTGAATTGACTGGTAGGGATGGTAAAACGATTTGGATGATCAAACTGAATATCTTGAGGTATATTGTAATTTTAATTAAAAGCTTTTTGTCTTGAGTCATGCTGCCAAAATCTGGTGCAATAGATTTGGGATAGAGTTGTGAATCTTGTGAATAAAAGTAAATTGGGATTAAAATTAGGGGATTAATAAACGTACCCCCCTTTCTGCTATCCACACCCGGTTTTTCACACCTGGTTTTCTGCTTCTACACCCGGTTACCCCAGCCTTTTTAATTCATTTTTTGGAAATTCTGAATATGCTAAAAATCTTCTAAAATTAATCATTCTTTTTGGTTATATAAAAAATCCTCAAAAGAGAAATTTTAATTTTAATTTTAATTTATCTGATGCATCAAGTTTTTTTTTCTGCCTATGAGCTTTTGAGAATTCAAAGTACATTTAAATTTATCATTGATATTGCCCAATCTTTGGGAAATCTATAAAGGACCAAATTTGATTTCATTTTGGAAATCCCAATGTCGTTGGTTTTGAGCTATAAGGAAATGGACAAAATAAGGAATATCTTGAATGGTACCATCTGTATGGAGAAGAAAAATTAAAAACTTGAAAATTAATAATAAGTTTTGGCTTTAATTCAAGTTTTCAAGAGTTCATAGGGTCAAAAAAAATTCTGAAAAAATGGGTGAGAAAAATAAAAAAATTGAAGTTCTCTTTTGAGGATTTTTTATATACCCAAAAAGAATGATCAATTTTAGAAGATTTTTAGAATATTCAGAATTTCCAAAAAATGAATTACAAAGGCTGTGAAAAACCAGGTGTAGAAGCAGAAAACCAGGTGTGGATAGCAGAAAAGGGGGGTACCTTTACTAATCCCCTAAAATTAAGCCGGATATCAATTCCACTGGTTCAAAGAGACAGTAATGTTCCTTGTCCACTTCACACATTGGAGCACAATGTTCTGGCGCCAAATCCTCAAACAGTTTGAAGTGGCCTTGCTTGGTCAATTCTGGATAAAACTCAAGATGTGGTCTCACTAAAGGGTTGGCCAGATCCTTTTTTGGGCAGAGGAAAGAAAGGATTGTCAATTTTTACCAAAGAATATTTGATGATGATGGGTAAATAATAAAAATGTTTGTTTTGTTTTGTTTTCAGTCTTACCTGGGATAGAATACCCTTGACACTGAGGGAATAGCAGGATGTTCCAAAGGGACTCTTCTCAAACTTCAGATCACTCTTGAGGAATTTTTGAATACAGGCTTGTGCACTGCGGATGGTGGACAAGGCTGGAAGGAGGATTGGACAGATCAACAATGCGCTTCTGGCTGTATTATACATTGCACCCAACATCAGTGAGTGGGTGTGCCCCATCAAGATTGACCCAACAAGCTCCTGCATTTGGACAAAGATAATTTTGGTCAGTGTAAAATGTTCCTTTTCTATTTTATTTTATCTTTTGTTCTAAAAATGAATGGAAAATCACCATCTTGTTCTTGAAAGGGAACCACATTGAACTCTCATCTGGTTCATTATCACCATCCACATCCAGGTTGTCCAGTCCCTCAAACAAATCAGCATCTTCCACTTGAAGGATTTGCTCAACCTCTGCATTAATCAAGTTGTCAATGCTAATCTCGTCATCCAAATTCACACCTGTCAAGATGTTTGTTTCCAAAAGCCTTGCTGCTGGTCCCATTGCAGCAAGGTCAATCACATCAAGGTTGGCTTGATGATTGTAGGACTCTTGGCTTTCATCACTAACTGGATTGTTATCCTGTACATCTGGCTGAGGGAGGCTTAGTTTGTTTTCTGCTTCAATTCTTTCCAGCGCTTCCCTTGCAGTTTGCTCATTGTGCTCACAAATATGTTCCCAATGTTGTTTTCCCATAGCGTGCTTACGATAGCTGAGAAAGTCTCCTCCCTGACATAAATTACAATGCCAGACTGTCTTACCATCTCTTGTTCTCATCCTTGATTGGAAATATTCTGGTACATTGTCTGCAGGATTGATCATAAACAGCAGAAAAAATTAATCAGCAAAAAAAAATTAAACAGAAAAAAAGGGCAGAAACAAAAAACAAATCAGCAAAAGCATGTATATAATCAAATATGATAATAATTGTATGCGGGAGGCGCAGTCGTTGGATCAAAAGGTTTGTGGCGGACCAAACCGAGCGTGTTGGTAAAGAGGATGACCTCCTGTCTTAGCATTCTTTCAAGAAATTTGTCCTGTCTTTGCAACATGGCCTGCATGGCGGAGGTGACAGCTTCGTCATTTTCTCGATGGAGGCGCGAGCAGAGATCTTTGACTGTCTGGGAAAGGGTTTGGCCATCGTTCGCATCTTCGAGGGAGCAGACTTGGTTGAAGCAAGTGTCAACGTACTTTGAGATCGACTTGACATGGTCAGCGAGAAGCTGGTCTACTCGATTCGTCATAGCGTTCTCAAATTCAGTAACCTTGTGCGTAAGGGCAGCTTCGAGCCTATCAGCATACTTTGCGACGGTCGCTTCTAGATCCAATTCCAAGCTTCTGTGCCCCTTTTGAAAATGCTCGTCGTTCGAAGTCGCTGGGCAAGCTGGGCAACGGTTAGCTTCGCCACAGGTATCGCGTGTGGGCGAGGATTCTGCAACACAAAGAAATATCATGGATATCATGGGCTGCATAAATTGTGTAGCAGGTCAGGCTTAAAACAACTTATTTACCTGAGGCGGATGCTTGAATGCTCCTATTCCCCTCCGAGATACTGCTCGTATTCTTTTTTTTTAAGTGCGGAGTTGATTTGACATTGCGCACTACTGCTCGTATTCACGCGTTGTTCTTTGCGATCATCATCCATATTGGTATCTGGGCTGGGTTACTAGACTGATAGCAGTATTCGCTTGATCGTGATGTACCAAGCGAACAGTGATTGGAGAACAAGCAGATTAGCACCTAACTACGGTGGATAGGGATCTGATTCGAGATAGAAGCGAGATAACCCAGGGCGTGACTAGATAAGCACCTAACTGCGGTAACTAATTAGAGCTGCCACTAGATGAGGCGGTTATTGATCATGTCGTATCAGTGTGATCTGGGAACAACCAGATTGTAAGCACCCAACGACAATAGCTAACAGATGTGAGTCGAGATAAAAGCGCAAAGGCACTGAGTGCAACTAGATAAGCACCCACCTGAGATAGCTAATTAGCGCTTCCAGTCTAGAAAAAAGGAAGTTGACTAGTTTGAGAGGACGCGAGATGTCAAGACTGAGGTTTTGTATGTAGACAAGTCCATTTAGCGCAACAAAAAGGAGGGGTGTTTGGCTCTAACAAAGGGACCCTTACGTATACACAACAGTTTGTGTTGCTATGTTACTCACTGTTTTGCCATTCATGCTATTCCCTCTTCTTTCTTCAATTGTATGGGCGGGCCAGTCAACGAGTTTGCCAAGGCCGCTTTAGCGCCATAGCTGGTCAGACACCAGGACCGGATCAATTGCTGACGTCGGCCTGATTACTCCTTGATTTGAGACGTGAAGCCCGAAATGCTAGATGCATAGGCCACACCATTTATGATGCGCAGCCATAAGGATAAGATTCCAACAAGTCATGGAAGCAAAATGTATATTTTTTTCCACATGTCATTTGTGTTTCATTTCATGGTCAAAATTTCATTAGTTTATCACAATCTGGAAAGTAATGATTTTTCTGCGCGTTGACTTTTTTCTTCTTGGAGAAGCAAAAAATGTTTATATATACAACTTGGCACAATTTTCACATGTCAACATTTAAGCGGAGAGAATATTATATGTACAACTTGATACAATTTTCACCAGTCTTGTCATTTTTTCTTGGAATAGCGGAAACACATAACGTGTACAACTTGATAATATCTTTGAGAGAAAGGCAGTTGGGCAAGGGGAGGCCAGTAGAAGAGAAGGAGATTTGTACAAAGTGGCTATAAAACACTAGTTACAAGGAAGAAAGAGGGGTTTGTCAAAAGTAGATTGAGAACACTAGTTGAACACAAGAAAAAAAAGGGGTTGTCGAAAGTAGCTACAAACTCTAGACACTCAAAATACACATCACCTTAATCTTTGTTTAAAAAGACCAAACCGATTGTCGGAGTTGTCAAACGCACATCAACTTCACTGATTTCATATCAAATCCATGCGCAAAGCAATTTGATCGATTGAACTTGTGTGACAATTGTACATGTAGGATCATCAGACGGGGGAAGACGCAGGTCAATCTGCATTGCAGGCAAATTGAGTGCACGAAATGGATTTCTTGAGCGTGAAGGAATGAGTGGGAGGGGTTTGACAACAAACCACGTGTGAGTTTTTTTGACATGATTAGTTGTCAGGTAGCTGTGCTCAAATATGCTTCTGATGAAACCAAACTGCTGGCTCTCAGGGAAGCCTGTACGATCTAGCTTGACCAGGCTATTTCTTGAGTTTGCTTCCAAAGTAGAATATGTAATGTTTCAAAGGCGCTGTGGTGAGCCAAATCAAAACATCAATGCCTCAATGCGCCGTACAATCAGGACAGGAAGACCCCAAACACCTTGGTCCTCAAGATAGAAATCCCAACACTCAGATCACACGTGGGGGGAAGAAAGTCACCCCTCAGACAGAGCCAGGGTATTAGGAACCCTCCTTGTTTTCTCTCGTTTCATTCTTTTTCTTTCTGGAGCTGCTGCATAAGCACTCCTCTTTCTCTTATCTTTCTGTTTCACACTAATGCACCCACTTGGGGATTAGCCTCTTACCTCTATGCATGCGCCTGCATGTGGCTATGCGCGTCTCAGACTTACGCACCCTTTTGGGAAAGCAGGCTATGTCATTGTGTCCTCTTTGGTCTTAGCAGCCACCTTCTGGGCCGTGGTGTTTCAGTTTGATATTTTTCACTTGATCCTTTTCTCAAACCACAAGCTGGCCACTCCCCAGATTTTGTATATAAGGAGCCATGTTTTCCCCTCATCATTTGTTCCATCATCAGTTCCCTGACGTGCTCAGCCTGGTCACTTAGTTAGTTATTGTCCTTAGTCATAGTCCTCAGGTAAAGTCCTCAGGTAAAGTACTTAGAAAATATTATCACACCTTGCTAGTCAGAAATTGTCCGCCACATCTTCAGAGAGTATTTGAACTCTCCTTGTCTACTACCTTATCACCTTTTACCGGAGGGCAGCCTTATTCACGGCGCATTTACCCTTCCACACTCTATCTGATCCCACCGGGTAGTTCCACAAGTGGTGTCCCAACAGTGGCCTGACGATCTCTAGATTAAACAGTCACGTTTTGGTTATCCATTACAATCTTAAGATACAAAACCCTTAAAAAAAATCTTTTCCTTACATTACTATCATCACTATCTCTCGCCTTTTTTCCGCACTTCAAAACTCATAAAAGCACACACAAAAATTAGATTAGATTTACTTCATAGCTTCTAGAAATGTCTTACCGTAACCAGCCAGTTCCTATAAACCTCTACTCGTCCAATATTGGACAATTATCCAACAACTTACCTCTCAACCCCGGACCATTCCGCGACCAAAACAACGTCTCGGAAAATTCGTCTTCAGATGGCCCAACTGCGAACCCGGCGTTGTCAGAGCACTCTGCAGGATCTCGATTGCCCGGTCACGGTTTCCCGAGTCATGGCCAAGCAGGGAATATACTACCAAGTCCTCATTTTTTGGAAAGTCGTGTCGTGCTGCCGGCGTATAACCCGGAGCCATTCGGACGAAAACCAGTCAAGATTAAGTCCCAATCTAAAGGACTAATGTTCAACGGTACTAACATGGACATCAGCGATTTTATTAAGCGCCTGGAATACGCCGCACAGATAGATGGCGCCCTAGGATCCGACATTGCGCTTCAGATAATTTTCTTCCTCGAAGGCGAGACTTTGGTAAAAGAAGTCCAGGAAATGGCCGAAAAGGAGAACCACGACTGGGAAAAATTGAAAGAACGGATGGTGCTACGTTGGGGTAAGATGATGCCGCTCCTGAAACATACGAGGAACGATTTGGATCAGCTCCTAGCAACAACACGCGCATCCGGTATCAAGACTCAAAGGGAGTTCCAAAATTTCCGTATCAAGATAGATAACTTGGTGGCTTACCTCGTCCGGTGCCAACACATGGGTAACGCAGAGGAAATTCGACACGCCGTATTAAACTGCCTGGTCCATCCAATTAAGGTTTCAGTCACAAAGGAACTTATCAGAGATAACCAAATGCGCTTATCGGTGGATGGATCCCACATTTTGCCGCCGTACCTAACGATTATGGAATATATCAGTCGTGAACTCAAGACCATCTCAATCTTAGAAGGAGAGGATCCCCCGGCAAAGCAACCGGCCGCCAATCAACCAGCGCCGCCACGAGCCCCAGTGAATACGCCACGAAAGGATCCAGCTGTCGAGGAGTTAACCAAGACCTTAGCAGGATGGAACGTCCAGAAAGGCCCCGTGATATCAGCCAGCCACGTACCCTACAGGCCGGTGCAATACGAGAGACCACCGTCGACCTTAAAATGCCATTATTGCTTCGGGGATAAACACACGGTGTATCGATGCAGCTTATTTGCCCAGGACGAATTCGACAAAAAAGTTTACCGCGAAGGAAAGGACCTCAAACTTCCTAATGGAACCATAGTACAGCCCGACAGGTCACGCGCCATAAAAGAAGTCGTGGATAAGAACTGCACGCCATCACAGACCCCGGGAATCATCAACCTTCCTCCGGGAACCGAAATTAAAAAGCAGGAACCGACATCAGAAATCCGCACTTCTTACGGTAAATTGGAAGAGTGCACCCCTGAAAAACTTAGCTCTTACGATGTTGACGCCGCCAAACGGTTGAGGAGCGGAAAAGAGGTCTCTGAGACTCCGGCCCCAAAGAAAACTCGAAAGGATAGCGAAGACTTAATGGATGTCGAGGAAGAAATTACCGAACTGGCACGACAAGACAACCACGACCTATTCCCAGGGTACAAAGAGCATCTGGAAAAAGCGGCGGCAGAGGTACCAAAGAAAGTTCAGTTCAAGAAACCAGAAGTCACCACACCGGAAGCAAAAGAAAAAGTGCCCAAGAAAACTTACTTGGAAAAGACCTTGTCTAAAGAGTTTCCCGAAGCCGAAGAACGAGTCGTCCAAAGAATGGTCTTGGAAGGCAAAATGGAACTCTCTTATGGTGAAATTTTTGCGATCTCCAATGGCGTCTCCGAGGCTTTCAAGAAGAAGATTTCACGACGAAAGGTCCCAATCGAGGGCGGCCCACCAGAAAAGGTAACTAACGCCGGAGGAGTGGACTCAGACGACGACGAAGAGGAAGAAATGGAGGCCCCACGTAGGTCCCATTACGCATGCCCGCTGGGCCACATAAAGGTAGGTATAAACGGTAAGGAAGTCCAACCGCTTCTGGACAACGGCTCCATGGTGAACGTACTCCCGAAGGATCTTGCGGTACGCCTGGGCCTCATCGTTACGGAAAAGAAAATGAACCTCAAGGGAATCGGTGGTCACAAGAACGAAATCCTTGGGATAGCCGAATCAGTACGCGTTAAAATTGGAAATATCTCTCGAAAAGTCCACTTCTGGGTATCCACCGGAGACGTGCAACCTATCTTAGGTAAACCCTTCCTGATCGACGTATCAGCAACTATGCGGTACGCAGGAGAAGGCGGGGAGAGTCTGTCCATTAAAGATGACGAAGGACGAGTTTACTTGGTTCCTATTATTACTCCGGCTAATCAAGAATACGAGACAACCTTTCCTACGAACGTAACTACAACCTCAAACGTGGTAACAGCCTCCAGTGATGCATCGTCAGAAAATGTCTTTGAACAACAAATGCAACGTAGCGATGGAGTGTTAGTCTGCGCAGCCAAGTATAAATCCGCAGCAAAGAAAGTAAAACCGGTCAACGAACCTATGCCCCAAAATATCAATACCCCACTTAGTTTTCCAGTCCTATCTCGGGATCCTTACACTACTCCACTCACGCCTTATCCCCCAGAATTCGTGCCTACTACTAAAATAACTGAGGAACGCCTTAAAGTCGTAAATTTCGGACCGACCGGCTGGCTTTCAGATGAAGAGTTAAATTTGCTCAAGCACGTCATCAAGCTTCGAGAAGGTGCCTTAGCCTTTGTAGAAGAAGAGAGGGGGTTACTGAAACATTCATACGGTAAACCTTACATCATCCCAGTAATTGCCCATGAGCCGTGGCAACAAAGACCAATTCCTATTGCCCAGGCCATCAGAGATCAATTCATTGAGTTGGTTAGAGAACGGATTCGAACCGGACTCTATGAGCAATCTTGTTCCAGCTATTCAAGTCCAGTGTTTTGCGTCAAGAAACAGGATGGAAAGCTCCGAGTGGTCCACGACCTTCAAAAATTAAATAAAGTCACAATTAAAGACGCAGGATTGCCCCCCGCACCAGAGGACTTGATTGAATCATTCACCGGCCGAGCTTGTTACGGGCTTGGTGACATTATGGGCGGCTATGACGAACGTGAATTAGACGTCAGCTCTCGACCTTTAACAACCTTCGAAACCCCTTTAGGCCGCTTCCAACTTACCAGATTACCACAGGGAGCCACCAACTCAGTCGCGGTTTACCAATCCCAGATGATGTGGATTCTTCAAGAAGAAATACCGGAAAACGTGGGAATATTCATTGACGACGGCGGAATTAAAGGCCCCGTCTCAGATTATAATCAAGAAAAGTTGACCGAAAACCCCGGAATTCGCCGCTTTATTTGGGAATATGCCGTCATTCTGGAACGAGTCCTCTTTCGAATTGAAGAAGCTGGCTTAACCATCTCGGGAAAGAAGTTTGCTTGCTGTGTCCCAGCTCTGGAACTTGTAGGCCATGTAGTCTGTAAAGAGGGGCGCAGGATTGCAAAGAAACAGCTTAACAAAGTGCTGACTTGGCCGACTCCAACCAATACCACGGAAGTTCGAGGTTTCCTGGGAGTTTGTGTCTACGTACGAATGTTTATCCAGGACTTCTCCAAACTGGCAGCTCCGTTGCAAAAACTCACACGAAAGGACGCAGAATGGGAATGGACGGACGACTGCCAAGCTGCTTTCGACGCTCTGAAAAAAATCGTGGGGCAGGACATAACACTGAAGAAAATTGATTACTCTGACAAAGGAGGAAAAATTAAGCTTGCGGTAGATTCCAGTTACATTGCTGCAGGAGCCGTACTCACTCAAGAAGTGGATGGCCGGGACCGCCCGGTGCTTTACGAATCAGTGGTTTTTACGCCAGTGGAGTCACGATATTCTCAGTCCAAACTCGAACTTTGCGGGGTAGCCAAGGTTCTAAAAAAATTACAATCACAACTTTGGGGTCAACATTTCGAGCTATTAGTCGATGCTAAAAGCCTCATCGAGATGATTAATTCTCCATCCCTTCCGAATGCGCCAATGACCCGCTGGGTAGCTTTTATCCAACTGTTTTCGTTCGACCTTAAACATGTTCCTGGAAAAACATTTACCATGCCAGATGGTCTTTCTCGACGCCCGCCCAACGACGACGAACCGACTGCTACCGAATTTGACGAAGACGAATCTTGGGTGAAACCACACGCAGGGTTTGGCTTGAAAGAGGTCAATTCTTTGAATTTGGGGGTGGCCAACACGCAGTTCCTTCAGGAAGGAATTTGGGCCAAGCTCCAAGAATATTTGTTCACCTTAAATCGACCCGAGGACTGCACCGAAGAAGAATGGGCGACCATTTTGAAGAAATCAGCCACTTTTTTTATTTCAGATGGTAAATTAAAAAGGAGGAACACACCATTTCCTCAGCTTGTCATATCTTCCAAGAATAATCAAGACTTTGTCCTGGAAACGCTCCACGAAGAATTAGGCCATCGAGGTGTGGAAGAAACTTATAGACGCTGCAAGTTACGATTTTGGTGGCCTAACATGAAGAAAAACATTGGCGCATGGGTTCAATCTTGCGAGGCCTGTCAAAAGCGTAGTCTGGTCAAACCTCTCGAGCACAAACACGCCACTGGTAAGAATACTATCTTTGGACGAGTCAGCATGGACGCAGTTCATATTAAAGCCGGTAGCTGGAAATACCTTCTCGTTGCCCGTGATGATCTGTCTGGGTGGGTAGAAGCAGTAGGCCTCGAAAAACTTACGGCAGCAAAAGTTGCTTCCTGGTTCAAAGAAAACTGGATCTTACGGTATGGCGCCCCATGTGTAGTCGTCATGGATGGAGGCTCTGAATTCGGAAAAGAAGTCCAAGAGACCATAGCCCGCGGAGGATCCACAGTTAAGATAACCACCCCTTACTATCCAGAAGCCAACGGTATGGTAGAACGCGGTCACCAGCCACTTAAAGACGCACTAGTCAAGATGTGCGGAACGAATGGAAAGAAATGGCGAAGTTTTTTGCCACTTGTTTTATTTGCAGATAGGGTTTCAACCAAGCGTACAACTGGCTACACGCCCTACGAACTAGTATTTGGACAACCGGCAGTTCTACCTATTGATCTAGAAATGGAAACATTTTTAGGGACAGACTGGGAGGAAGTAACAAGTACAGCGGACCTCTTGTCAGCACGGGCTAATCAACTTGAAAGACGGGAAGAAACTCTTCAAAAAGCTTACAAGAAATTGAAGGAGACACGCGAAAAATCTGTGGAATCCTGGAACAAACAAAAAGCGGACCGGGGACCCCTTAGTCCTGGTGAGTTAGTACTGGTCTACAATAGATCCCTCGAAAGCCAATGGGGAAAACTGTTTGAAAATCGCTGGAACGGCCCTTACCGAGTAATATCTCAAGAAAAATCCGGCTCTTACGTCCTTGAAGAACTAGATGGGACCCCATTAAAAAGACGGTACGCAGCACCGCAGGTGAAAATATTTCATCAGCGTTGCTGAAGTATCCCTCCTTAAATAAACACACTGTACATTATAATGCTCTCCAACTGCTGTCTGTCATTACTTCATAGCTAAAAATAACAAATATAAAAAAAAAGAAAAAAAAAAAAAAAAAAAAAAAAAAAAAGGGTCAGGGTGGTTAGCCCAAAAATTTAAAATTTTCTATTCATTTCAGTACATCTCTGCTCACCCTTTATACGTGGATCAACTCAACACGTGACGCGTTATTCAAGACATCATCCAACTCCTCCAAAACAGAGTCCATAAGCTCATTGACCGTCCAATACGGCTCTACTGGTCCAGCGGCGGTGCGTGCACGGCGGGATCGACCTCGTAAAACTCGTTGGGAGTTGTGTCTAATATGGTTATTGAACCATCTGTTTATGCGCTCACGAGCTCGAAGGATTTCCTCCTCATCAATAACAGTTGCCTGGAAAGGCACAATTTCGACGGGGTCGAACCTTGGGCTGTTCAATCTTTCATAATCGGTTATCTCTTCATTATCTTCTGGCTGGTTACCCGCGTCTCCATCCTCTATTTCGATCGGGTTCTCAGGAGAACCAAGGGGCAGTGCCGCAAGTTGATAAGTGGGAGGAGAATCATCCGATGCAAAGACAATGGTGTTGTTCGGAACAGCGACCTCGGGATTAGCGTCGTTGGTCTCAGTATCGTTAGCAAGATTTGTTTCGTCGTCGGAAATACTGGAATCACCGCTGGAGGCGATGGAATCACCGTCGTTCATGCGGGCTGTGTTGGTGTCGTCGTCGGGAAAAGCGCGACCGGAAAATGTAGCACCAGGTATCCACTCGGTGTTGAACGTCATCGTCGATGGATTTCTGAATGATAGGTTGATTTAGACTGGGTTGATGGAAGAAAACGAGACCGATCTCACCCCCCCCCTCCTTTTATGTCCTCAGGAAGAGTGGCTACAGCACCGAGCCGCCCCCCTCATCGTTGCCTTTTTTTCTTTTTCCTCTCCTATCTTTCTTTTTTTTCTTTTTTTCTCTTTTTCGCTTCCTGGTCCCTTGAAACAGGCATCAAACCCCTTTCGGGCTTGATTAAACAAAACGATTGCTTGAAAGTGGAAGGAGAAGTCTCATTTGGGGCTCGATAAAACAAACGACTGCTCAGAACGGAACCAAGCGGCTCCTTTTGAAAAAGGGTGTCGCTCGTCTATAGTTAAAAAGGGAATAAGGAGCCCCATTCGGGGCTCGATAGAACGAATCGATTGGGCTAGAAATCGATAGAACGGCCCCTTTTCGTCAGGAAGCCGTTAGAAGTAAGACAGCTGTCTCTTGCCCAACTTGGTCGGTAGAAGACAGTCTCCGGCCGCGTACACTCTAGAATCTACAGGGATGACTGTTCCCCTGTCTGTTTACGGCTCCCTTTGTCTTCTGGTCTGGAACGGGTAAAGACAAAACAGATCCGTTCAAATGCGATGGCCGACCTCGGCTGTTATCTCGTACGAAACACGGACGACGAACGATCTCGTCTAATTCTTTCCTCCCGTTTGATCCAACCCGGTTTTTCTTTTTTTTTCTTTTCTTTTCTCTCTTCATCTATGTTGAAAACCAGTCGGCTGGCCCTTGTCAGCTTCTTTGGCGAGGTAGCTTTCTCCGGCCGTGCCGTACACAAGAACGGATTAGGCCGTCTTCTATTCCGACATTCTTTTATGACCACTGAGATTTGGAACGATTGTTCCGTTTCGGATTGGTAGCCCCGCCACCTCCTGGAAGCTAGGCCATGTTTTAGCTAAGGGAGCGAAGCGAATGGCTTTCTCCCCTGACATCCAGCTACCAAGAGGATGGCGAGCCCGTTTTTTTCAGTCACAGCCGGGATGACCCACTTCGTCTCTTCAAAAAAATAATAATAAATAAATAAACGATCCAACCAAGAGCAAACAAAATTGTAACGTTGACCACGCCTCGGCAAGCTATCTAAACTCGAACGCTCCCCGACTGATCTGCTTGCGCTTTAGGCCAGCTTTCAAAACCACGGTATTTAGGACGCAATGCTGCTTATCGACCGCATCATGCCTGCCGACCAACAGACTACCAAGATCAACATAGCCAACCTGGCTGAAGGAACCAGTCTGGCTGACGTAATGACCTCCTTCAGCCAGTTTGGAAAAATTATGCGTTGTTCTCTAAAACAACACTATGATGGCCAGGATACATCGGTCTCAGCTACCATCGAGTTTTCGTCCTATACATCCGCAGTCAGCGCAGTCGAGGAATTGGACGGCGCTACCGCCGACGGTCTTTGTCTCCACGTTAAATTAGTTAGAGTAGTTAGGCCCCCTGTACACATAGCTACCAAGGAGGACTCTACCAAGCAAGAAGCACAAGATGAAAGCCCCCTCTTACATCGAATTTCTAAGCGTCCCCGAGCCTAAGACTAGCCCCTCCTTGCACCCGCCATAGCCACTCTTTTTTTTTCTTTTCTTCCACTTCTTCTTTTCACTTCATTTTTGTTACATACTTCAAGTCTCCCGGTAAAATGAAAAATCACATAAAAAAAATTATCTGAATAAATTTTATCAAATCAAAAATAAATCAATAGAAGAAAGAAAGCTCCGCCAGCCTCTCAAGAAGTCCAGATGATGGGGACATCATCCAATTTGGGGGTGGATGTGGTGAGCCAAATCAAAACATCAATGCCTCAATGCGCCGTACAATCAGGACAGGAAGACCCCAAACACCTTGGTCCTCAAGATAGAAATCCCAACACTCAGATCACACGTGGGGGGAAGAAAGTCACCCCTCAGACAGAGCCAGGGTATTAGGAACCCTCCTTGTTTTCTCTCGTTTCATTCTTTTTCTTTCTGGAGCTGCTGCATAAGCACTCCTCTTTCTCTTATCTTTCTGTTTCACACTAATGCACCCACTTGGGGATTAGCCTCTTACCTCTATGCATGCGCCTGCATGTGGCTATGCGCGTCTCAGACTTACGCACCCTTTTGGGAAAGCAGGCTATGTCATTGTGTCCTCTTTGGTCTTAGCAGCCACCTTCTGGGCCGTGGTGTTTCAGTTTGATATTTTTCACTTGATCCTTTTCTCAAACCACAAGCTGGCCACTCCCCAGATTTTGTATATAAGGAGCCATGTTTTCCCCTCATCATTTGTTCCATCATCAGTTCCCTGACGTGCTCAGCCTGGTCACTTAGTTAGTTATTGTCCTTAGTCATAGTCCTCAGGTAAAGTCCTCAGGTAAAGTACTTAGAAAATATTATCACACCTTGCTAGTCAGAAATTGTCCGCCACATCTTCAGAGAGTATTTGAACTCTCCTTGTCTACTACCTTATCACCTTTTACCGGAGGGCAGCCTTATTCACGGCGCATTTACCCTTCCACACTCTATCTGATCCCACCGGGTAGTTCCACAGCGCGTGTTTCCCGTTGATGGGACAAAAAGCATTTCATTCAGCACGCCTGAGTTGATGATATTGATCAGAAGGAATATGATTTGAAGGACCAAGCAAGTTGATTCCCTCCACCAAAAGTTGAAGAACGTGATGACTCAGAAAAGGCTGATAAGATAGCTTCGTAGTCTTTGAAAAGGAATCGGAAGGCGTGGTGTCTGTGTTCAAGACATTGTCAATAAGCGAGGAAAGCGAGTTGGGTAAATCTCTTTGTTCCAAAAGGGCCTGCAAGCTGGAGGCACGCGTGAATGTTGTGAGAAAAGTAGTCTCTAGCTGACCTGAGGAATTGATTGAGGTTCAAGACGTTAGCAACTATTAGGATACATCAAAAAGGGAAAGTTAAAACACACCAATTCTATTGTTATGACAGCTTTTGACGACTTGCCCCATGAATCTTTCAAAAGGAAAACTCCACGATGCTCTGACAGGGCCGTATCGCTCCAGGCCTTCGGCAATGTGAGTTGACATGTGGTGGTTGGTTGTAAGGGGGAGGTCAGGAAATAGTTTCAATGTGGATTCAAGGTATGCGCGATTGTATAAGCAGTATTGGGCTATTTGATCAGAAGTCATGGTGCGCTTGAGGGCAATGTTGACCATAGAAACCAAGTGGCAAAAATTCTTCAGAAGTGCTTGTTGATATGCATCTTGGCGGTTCCAGAGGGGAATCAGACAAAGAGGGAGCTGTATAGTAAACAGATTACGCCACTCGTCAGCTTTAAGTTTGCCATAAGAGGCCTGGCCAAGAATCGGGATACCTCGTGAGATGGAAGTGGGCAGACGTATCCGATTCAAACGTTGATTGACATAGGCCGGGAGGTCAGAATCGAAGACGGCCTGAGTCATGGGTACGTCAAACTCTTCACCAGGCGCCAAGTAGTCAGCATTGTCTGGTTCGGTGGACGCAAATGATATATCTAAGAAATGCCTGGCGTTGTTAAAATTACCATCCATGCCTTTGGCTGCAAGATTGTTCTGATCATTTCTTGCTGTCTCTTCATGATTGGATGGGGTTACAGGTTGGCGTTCAGGTGAAAGAAGCCTATCTGTTATCAAGTTTATGCCTTTGCGGGGAGGAGGGGCCAATTGAACGTTATCAACCTTGGTCATTCCCCAAATGCGTTTACAGTGCCATGCCAAAACTCCAAGCAGGAGGTTGTGCATTGGATCAATGACATGGTTGTCAATTAAAGACCAATAATCTAATTCACAAAGTTTGGAGTATCTGATCCCATTGCTCTTGTAAATCTGTTGACGAGCGGTGTAGCTGCCTGCATCACGCGCTTTTAGAGCTTTTTGTTTGTGTTCCTGATCGCTTCGTTTGCGGACGCGGCTAACGTCGAGAGAATTGATCTGATGCCTGGGTAAATGGCATTTGGAACACATGTTATCATTTGACGCATGTCCGGCAAGTCCCAAAGTACGACGACAGGCAGGGAGGTCGGCAAAGAAGGACATGAGGGCACGACGGATGTGACGGCACCGTGGCGATGTGTTTTGGGTAGAAAAAGACCGGGATTCCAAAGGCTTTTTAAATCTTGCACAAGCGGGTCAAGGATCCAGTTGGTTTGGGTAAGAGATGGTTCCTTGGGTCCTGGGGCAATGCTGACAAGGTATATATTTTGCGGAAGGAACCGATGCGTGAATGGTAAGGTTAAACATACTAGAACGATAAACGTGATGCTTGCATGCTTGCCGGCCTGCTTGTTACCGTATGGGTTGATGCCATCAACAAACATCCCAAACGACAGATTCCCGCTTTGAGCTGTGAAAGGTTTGCCATTGATTCCTTGGAAATTTTTCCAATGTGATGATTTGTGAATGTCACGGACAGAAGTGGGGTCATAATCTTGCTGTGAGGTAACTAGTGATTTGTCCAACATATCCTCAATGCCAGGTCTGGATAAAAAACGCGCAAGCCAGCTAGGGAAGGATTGAAAACTGATTTGGCGGCATGGAACAGGCTTGGGGACTTGGGTGATGAAGAGAGGGGTGCCGCATACTGCAGGGTGTCTGGGAAGCTCGTCTGTGAGAGTTGAGGTGCAAGAAGGTGGTGCACTGTTGGGAGAGTAAGTTGCAAAGCACGCAGGGCATGAGATAAGGTGTGTGATCTCAGAGTTTAAACGTAGGGCGGTTATCACAGTATTGATCTTGCGAGGAAGTTTTCTGATTATTCCGGCGTCTATGGGTGGATTGGTAGACAATTGTTGCAGCAAGGGTGTGATCAACTCAAAGGCGGATTGCAGTTGGCACTCAACAGCTCTGGAAGGAACTTGTTTGAACAGATATAATACCGCGGCCAATACCATGACATGGACTATGGAAGGGTGGCGACGCATAGAGAGGAAATCGCTGGATGGTACGCGGGTGGGAGACTTGGGAGCACTTGAGATTGTGATGGAGAAGTGACGTTGGGTGGAAGAGGATTCACTGAAGCGGATCGCTTTTGCGCTGAAGGTGCAATGCGGTCTTTCAATTCATGTCAACTGACAGTGTGGCAAGTCAACATTTTACCGGGGTGGTAATGTCCATTACTTTTGTGGGTACTTCGAGCACATTTGGAGCAAAGACAAAGACAACGAGTTTGGCGGTGTGGAGCCATTGCAGGAGTACGCTATCAGGTGAAAAGCAAAAACCGAAGAGACAGGCGAATGTGCCCTAGGTCAGTGGGATCATGTGATACAGGTTGGGAAAAAAATAAATTTTGCACATGCTGGAAAAGAAGAAACTGACCGTTTATTTTGACCAAGGGTATTTGTATGTTTGATATTTCTAGTTTTATGGTGTCCATGAAGTAGGAAAAAAGTTGTTTTTGAGAGTTTATTTTTGAATTTTTTATCTCAATTTCTTTTTCAATTTTTTTTATTCTATTATTATTTTGGATTTTCTGTGTTTTTTGTACGTTTTATAAAAAAGTTAATCAATAATTCTGGAGCGAGTCTGTGAACACGGAAGGAAAAGGGTTGCGGATCAGGGGACGATCAAAGTTGGTTGGAGGCCGTATTTGATCAATACATTGACTGCTGAGGAAGATGCATATACTAACAGGTCAAATGGCGGTTCACGTGTCAAATGTCTTGGGTGCAAAGCAACTTACCCTGTATTGAGGTGGGATGGTAGGGTCAAACCAATAGGAATGCACGTATTCTTGAACCCGATGCTTGTGAGTATAGTCTTCAAGGATGAAAAGCTTGTAGATAGCCAACAGCTGATCGTGGTCACACTCGAGGCAAAGAAAAAGGTTCGGATAGTAGGCCTGTAAAGCAAATCGGATATCGTTTTTCTTCTGAGCCCGGTGTAGGGGGGTTCCGATCGGGGGTGGAACAACACTATATTTTGGTGAGGCTTGTACACTTGATAAAATATCTCGATTAAAATTGCCTTGTTGAGATTGTGGATTTTTATTTCTGGTTTGACCTTGCAAATTAAGGCTCTGAGGATGGCCTTGGTATGGCTGCAGAGATTAGGATCAAATGTTTGGATGTTGATGTGATTGACGTTGATGTTGCCTTGAAGTTGACCGCCGGCGGGACACTCCCCAGTTCTTTCAAAGTACTCAGCAAACAATGGGGCAACACGCTCCTGGAAATAATCAAACAGAAAGTCTTTTTTGGGGGATCCTGTGAACTTGACAGATGGATAAACCAAGTGGATGATGCGGTCAAACTTCCTGATCGTGGCCCGGCGGTATGGTACTTTGGGTAATAAAAAAAATTTCAGGTCCTCAGGTACAGAGGCAACAATCGTTGCAAGGCGTTCTTGGTAGTCACCGGGACTAGGGGGTTGTGGGGGTGCACCAAAGGATTGTGAGGCGCAAGCGCTGGTGTGAGAGGCGGGAAGAGAGACGTCTGGCGTGGATTGCGTGCCGCTATAAGACGAACCGGGTGACAGGGGAGGTGCAGTCTTGATTGAAATATCAAAATCGAGCGTCT